TGTGAAACACCCTGCTCTACGCTGGCACCGACTGATGTAGTGAGGAGGGGGTTGCCATGCAGGTCGCCCGTCTGTGTCTGTTTGTGTGTTTACCAGATTGTTGGTCTGCCCATCAGAGAAATACGCCAGGGAGAAAAGACCTAGAGAGATGAAATAGAAGAAAAAACCTAAAACCAAATAAAGTCTTCCATCTACATTTTAATTCTTCATTTATATGGCACATTTCCAGGCCTGTTGCACCATGGGACTCTGATCTAAAGAATTGCTCTTCCCGGACAGGACAGACTTCCAGGGAATGTCCGTGTAATTATTAAGAACGATTATCCTTTTCACCCAGTGAAGGGACAGAACACTTGACAGTGTCATCCCCGAAAGGAAGAGGGATTGCTCGGGGTCTTGGGTGATAGACGAAACCCTGGGTGGCCCTTTAAGGACTTCTCTAACTCTCTGTCTCTTTCTGTCTTTTTTCTCTTTCTATTATTTCACCTAATGTATTCCCTTTCTCTGTCTCCTTTTCTCTGTTTTACATTCCATCGTTGACTCTTTCTTAGACCTCTCTCTGGATCATGCCAAGATAAAGCCGGCCTAAAACAGGAAATATTCATACATGATTCATTATATCTTGCTTCACCTCATATGGAGATTAATTAATAATTTCATTCTGCCATTGTCAAGTGCCTGTAATTCACAACCTTAAAACCTACACATGTACCACCTCATGAAGAAAGGATTCTTTCTTATATTCCTTTGTTTTGCCATTCTCTTTTCAATTTTTTCTCTCATTCTGTCATTCCTGTGCTTTTTTTCTCTCTCTGGCTAATCATGGTGTTACAACAAAAGACGGGGCTCCATTATTGCATGTGTGCGTCCCAGAAGAAAGGAAATGAGAACGGGACAGAGGGTGGCCGTGGCATGACACCGCACTATTAATCTTCCAGTAAAGCCTTGTCAGGCAGAAACGGACACAAATGGATCACTCCCATTAACTGGGGGAGTGTAGGTAAGGGCTTTAACAAGCGTTTACCAGAGTCCATTTTCTCACTAATGAAGAGGGGGAATACGCGACCTCCCGGCCAAACCTGCCAGACCGCACTTAAAGGTCTGGATGGAGGAGAAAAGGAGGGAGGAAAAAGAGCCGGAGGAGGACAGAAGAAGAGAATATCTGCGCATTGATAAAATATGTCGTATCGTGCATGGTTAATCCTTGGCCACCCTACTGTTTACCCCCAATACACATGGAGGAGAAACGCCCCATCCATGGGACAACCGTGTTCTCTTAGACCTGTGAATTTTTGTAAGGATCATTATTCCAGCTGTCAACATGATGTGGGAAAAATCCGCAAAATGTCATACCTATTGCCTATCTGAAAATCCTGCATTTAACTATTTTCCAACCACATGCAAACTAAGATGTAAACACCCATATGTGTGAGTAGATTCACAGACGCACATCTTGTCTTGTGGTCTTTTCCCCCAATTTCTATATTAGATATTCACACATGAGGGTGCACTGTTGTCACATTCGTTGACACCCCAATCTTTAGGGAGAAAGACAGAGGGCCACTATGGTAGGTGTCATCTCATAAGGGGTTTGCATTTATGCGCTATGTTTTAAACATGTGTCTGTCATCCTCCTGAGCCTTGTCCTGAGCTGTCATGTCTGTGGCCAGAGTTCTGTCCGCAGAGCCCTGAAACCTGCTGGTACCATGGCACAGACCTCCGAGATGTCTCTGCATCACAACCGCACTCCCAGAGGGGTGTGTGGTTTTGTATAAATGCCTATATGTGTGCCAGGTCTGTGTTTATCATCTGTGAGTATAGCGAGGAGACTTGGATGCTGAATGTCTAATGCATCACTAGCTTGTCCCTTGATGCGAGCTGGATGGGCAAGTTTTTTTTTTTTTTTAAAGCCACATGTTAATAAGAGATGTGCTGGAAACATTTTAAGGATCAAGCTGTGGTGGTATAGTGTAATTCATCACCGCCCTTCCAGATGTCAAAGTGTTTTTGTTTAAGTCAGTGAACACGCAAACAGATTCTTAAAGAATCACAGAATTCCAGTTGCACTAAATATGCTGTTAATGGATCTTTGGCTTTTTTGTTTGCTCACAGTGGCTCTATCATGTCCATGCATGTCATATACTGAATGATTGTCTTTCTGCTTGTACTTCCTCCCAGCCATGAAACCCCTGTCTGAACGCCTCTTGATTGGTTAGTTTTGCATCACAATGTTGATAAGGCAGTTATATCACTAGATGGATGCATGCGGCTGTTGTTTTCCTCTGTGTCAAGTGGCTGTTAACAATGAAACCAGTTTCCCGAACACAGCCCGATCAATAGAGCTAGCGTCATTAAAGAGATAGCAGCACACGCTGACCCGAGTGATACCGGAAAGTGAGCATGCAGAGGAAGAGAGGCGCGGCCCATCCCGTTTGTCTGTTATCACTGGCTCTGTGTTCCACAGGCTCCCAGGGGAAACTACGAGATGAGAGGAAGACTTCACCTTCCTCCTCCCAGACACCCCCCCCACCCGTCTTTCCTAACACTCCCGTTCCTTCAGCAGCCCTCCCCTCCCGCCCCCCACGCCCCAAACATTTTTAATTATATCTTCTCCCAAGTAGTGCGGCTCAGTAACCAAGGAGCTGACATTGATGCATGTGCTGATAAATCCGCAAACACTGGAAACAAGATTAACAAAGATTTTGAGGAAAGGGTGACAGCTAATTTTGCGCAATGGTCGGCGCCTCATTCAAGAGTGATGTTTTTGATAGAGCGAGCCACGCCTGAGAATTCATGCTCCACACAGGGGAGGGGGGACGCCAACACAACGCGAGGAGTTCCGCGGCATTTGCACTTTTTTAAATTGTTCTTTTTTTTAAAAAACCTTTTCCTCTCTCCGTTACTCCGGAGACTGTCCCGGCCTTTCTTCCCCCTACCGAGCATTTAGCTGCTTTGTTTGTGTGTTTATTTTTTCATCTTGTTTGATTGTGCACTCATAACTTCACATAATATATTCACACTCAAAAAGACAAGATAATTCACTTAACTTCATTGTCATCACATTTTGCCACACATGCCATCATTTATATTACAAAGTGAGCCACATTTACACAGACTTGATAAAGCATTAACCTATTGTTAACCTAATATGATAATGTTCATTTCTGTTTTTCATTGTCTGTAATTTAACAAACAAGACAACTTGCCAAATATTAATGGACAAATAAATGACTTGAGAATAGACTTTGCATTCGCTTAGCTTCTCTGTCTGTCTGCGGGCATGTTTTCGTGTGTGTGTGGTTCCGTGTGTGTGCCAGTCTAATCAGTGTGATCTAATCAGCAGTGTGTATTGTGGAGTCGGTGACATGCCACTCCAGGCCCGTGGTCCTGTCTCTGAACTGGCTCTTAACCCACTGAGACACTGATACACGCTCATCTGAGAAAGATATCACTCTGCCTCATCACACACACACACACACACACACACACACACACACACGCACACGCACACGCACACACACGCACTCGCACACACACATACACACATGCACAAACACGGGGAGAGAGAACAAGATAACAATCATACTTCCACAGCTGATTCCCTATTTTCCCATCGAAAAGCAACAACCTACCTCTTTCTCTTCTCTTTCTCCTCTGCAGCCAATTCCAAGTCTATACAGTAGAAACATTTTGTAGATTTCTTTTGTTTTTCTCATGCCTGTCTTTTTCCTTTTTCTTTTTTTTCCACCTCTTTATGTGATGTCTCCCTTCTCAGAATGGCCTCCCCTGTCTTCATCTGAAGGCAGCTGACAGCTTCTTTTACTTTTCTTTGTCAATTTCTCCTTCTCCCTCTCTCTCTGTCTCTGTAGCTCTCTTTTTCATCTGTGCCTACCCCCCCTCCTCCATCTGCTTTCGCTTTTGTTTGCCCGGCCCCTCTCCCATCCCAACTTGATAATGAGGAATGCGGTGTGACCCTGACCTCCATCGGCCCTGCATCCACCTCCGACCCCTCCAGGTGACCTCCGGTCCCTGTTTTGACAGCTTGATTAATTACAGAGTGTTATGATTTATGAGAAAAGCAGTATGTAAAAATAATAGACAACAGGTGGTCTTAAAAAAAGTTGTGGATTTGAAAGAGCTTCTAGTGAGGATTGTGGTGGCAGTCGGGATGTGGGAGTTAGTCTGTGTGTGTGAGCGAGAGAGGATGTGTTTTACAGCCGCTTTCCATGGTAAATTGCTTTTCAACCGTTTTTGAAGGCTACATCGGGTTAATAGGAAAATGTCTATTGCTCCATGCATGGTTTCCTTCGTTGCCTCAGCATGGATTTTTGCACGTGTATTTGGCCGTATGGTGAGAGGATGAAGGGGATTCCAACATACATGCGTAGCTCCATGTGTGTGCTGTGAAGCATAAACCCAGCCATGTGGTAATGACACTATGGAAAATGTGCAGGAACACACAGACATACATGCATACACACACTGATACACTATATTCTCTGCCACCTCTTTTCTAGGTTACATCCTGTGAAAATAAGCAGAGTAAATGTCAGGACAGAGCAGCCATAGTGTTTACCCTTCACACGTCAAACGCAGCTTGTGATTGGCTGTGGCGACCTCCCCTGACTCATGGACCTGTGGTGCAGCGCCACTTAGAGAGAGGTCAGACTCTTGGACTGTTGGAGTGTGTGTGTGTGTCATTGCGGTTGTGTGTCCGTGTGCTAATAATGTTACCTTCTGATTTATTGCCTGTTGCATGATTGCAGCCTGTTCCACTTTTCCAGTGTGGGAGGAGAAATTAATATTTTACACATATAGGATAGCAAATTTCATTGCATGAAAGGTCACACTTAACATGAAATATCGCTCACATACATACGCACACTTCACATAGCAACAGTCAGCGACATCAGCAGGACCACCAGTTATCTCTGTGGCGCTCCCTCCTAGGTCACAATAACAGGGCAGGGGTGAAGGGATTTCTCTTTGACCCTTGACCCATGGAGGTCATACGGGTCCTGTGATGTTCAGTAAGATTAATACCCTGGGCAAAACAGCATGGTCTCATTATTCACCAACACAGTGCCGTTTACTGGTAAATTACACCCAGCGCAGCACACCTGCACATTTGTCAACTGAGCAGTCAAAATCTCCATTTGGAGCTAAAAAATACCTTGCTCTCTTAATGATCTATTAGGTCACACATTACATGAATTGGCATTAGCTATATAATGCCAAAAATAGACTTTACTTGCCATGTGATGGGTATTTGCCTTTATCTCTGAAAATGCATGCATACTTATGTTCCTGTGTCTACAATTTTTAGTTGTATCCTGCCATTGTCCCCGACCGGCTCAGTCTGTACATATGGCCATGCGTCTCGCACCCCCCGCGTGTGTTCATGTATGTTAACGCACTAACTACCTGTCCAGATGGTAAAGTTGAAATATTCGTCAGTGGTTTAATATTTTCTCAAGCTGAACTGAAAGGCACACTCACATTTTGGTTTCATCGTTATGATCATCAACAGAGATGGATATTTCATTCAGGTCAGATACTTAGTTTTGTGTTATCTTGTTGAAGAATTAGATTTTAAATAGCTGCCAAAGGCTTCCTTCTCCCTTCTTTTTCATAATCATTATCTTAATTTTGCATTGTATTCCTTCCTTCCTAAGCCTATTGAACTCAGACTTTGCCTTTTCTCCTTCCTTCCGTGCACACTTATTAGTGGCCTTCAGGACAGGTTTGCTCCTGGGATGCATCCACACCTCCCTCCTTTCCTCTTTTTGTAGCTTCTCTGCCTCCCCCTCTCAGCTCACCTCTCTCCCTGATTTATACATTAAATAGTTAGGCAGGAGGGTAGGGAGGCACCTATCATTCCATGATCTATATCTCTCTGTGCCCTCATTAAAAATACATGTGTATGCTTAGGGGAGACAATATAGAATATATAAATCAAAATGCTAACGGCATCAGAATAAGCCTCCTGTATTTATTTCCCCATAGCTTTCCCTCTGTGGGCTCAGGACTCTTCCTGCTTACTGTATTTCCTTTGCTCTTTGGCATTTGTTTGATACTCTAATATTAAAGTATATTGGAAATGTTGTTAATTTATTATGCTAGTGATTTGATCATCTGCTCAGGCAACACTGCTAGCTGGAACATGGTTCATTATAATATCCCAGTTGTTTTACTTGATTTTTAAAATAGAAAGATATAATCAATGTTTGATAATGTAATGTATGTCTGTCTGCTTACTGTCTATGAGGCTGATCTGAGCTCTGGTGAGACAGCTCTAAAATATGTGATGCTGAGTTTACATTCACAGTCCCATCTTTGCGAAAGACATGCTGGTCTTCTGTAAAAAAAAAAAGAAGACAAATGACTTGTGTAACATTTACTTGCACAATCGATATCTCTGACAATTTCCACCTGGACGGTGATTAATGCTACATCCACCCCCAATCTAACAACCCCCAGCCCCAACCCTGCACCTCCCTCTGTGGGAGTCGTGCTGAGAGCAGATGAAGCAGGCCTTCAAACTTTGTGTGTGTCAGTATGTGTGTGTTTGTGTTTATGTGACGATGTCAGTCCAGACACTCGAGCGCTTGATCAACCGTTAAGCACGGATAGTGGCTAAACAAAATCACAGATTCACAGACGTCGAGTATAGTAAATAATTGAGGCATAAACTGGCTTTTGCATTGCACTGAGTGAGTTACTCAACAGTGTCTGTGTGAGTGTCTTTCCGTCTATCCTTTCAATAAGGTTCTGAAAATAGACGGGTCGGGAGGAGGGAGACAGGAAGAGAGAGAAATAGAAAGTGAAACAGAGAGAAAGAAATGTAAATGCGAGCATGAAAAGAAGCTGAGGCATCAGGGATCTGAAGCTGTGTTATTCTCTTCACTTCCTCCACCCCACTGCTCCACTTTGAACTCATTTATAAATATTCAGCTCCACATATAAACAATATCCAAATGAGCACAGACTTCCATGCCAAGGTTAAAAACTCTGCTGCGTATTACAGACACAACTACTTGACTAGCTCAAAAGGTTAGCCTCTTATTCTGACCTAAACTATTTGTGCTCATTAAGATCAAGAAAAGGATAATCATTACCACAGAGTCTTATTTACTTTGACCAAATTAGTGTGTGACTATTAGTGGAAGCGAACACCGTAGGAAGTCTTTGAACTTGAAGTGAAAGTTGAATTTAGAGCAACTTAATTAAATGTGCGCTCTTTATTAGAGGAGAAACTCATGCAGTGGGCGATTTGTTTAAAATGAACTCGGAGGGCAAATGGGGAGATGAAGCTCCGGTTTGTCTTACTTTTCCTATGTAAACATTTGTGTTAGCTGCTCAATTGATTGCTTGAACATACATGCATGTGGGGTTAAGCAGAAGAAAAAAAAGAAGCAAGTTTAGCTCTCCTACCTTATGTATGCAATGCGAATTATTGTACTTATTTTCTATACAAACTGTTTAACAATACTGGAAGATTGTATTTAGTAACATTTAGGTCTTCTTTGCAAGTACTTGCATGGCCCCCTGGGTATCGCTAGTTATCAAGAGGATGATTGATTTTGTGGTGACAGGCTGATGACAACCCTGTCTCATCCTTTCTCCCATCACCTAAGATCCACACATGTCTTTTCATAGCCCCAGTGGTACAGTAAGTACTCTACTCTTCTGTTCTCAGAGAAACATAGCTGTGTGTTGGGTTGGGTATGGGGGGTCGCAGACTGGTGCTGTGTTGAAATGAGAAAGGGGGTACCGTGACTTAATCTGACATTACTGTGCGATCTGTGTGGTATCTCGGTTTCAGGGAGAGGGGGAGTGGGAAAGAAAGAGAGAGAAAGAAAAGAGGGGGATCGGATGGATAAAGAGGCCCCGCATGCACAGAAATCTCACATAGAGACGTCGACAGAAAAGGGCAGGGTGGCCCCGACACTGAGGGAGATTGAGAGTACACTTGTTATAACAGTATTTACCTATCCTCTCAGATCCTTCATACTTATTTATAGAGGAGCATATTGTTTTGTATATGTTCTTCCTCCCTGTAAAGAGTTGTGTATTTGTATTTCATATTGCTTGAGCCACAAGTAACTGAAATTGTAACGCCAGCTCTTTGCTCTCGCTTATTTTCTATAACTTGTTTTTCATCTCCGTCGGCCATTGTGCCTCGTACAGATCTCAAACCAGACTGTAGCCTCCAGACACCCCTCCCCTCCTCCTCCTCATCTTATTGGGTATGCCAGGCAGGGTGACCCTTTCCCCCTTGTCAGTCAAGCCTGAGCAGCGAATCCGGAGCTGCGTATTGCTGAATCAAGGAAGTGGAGCGAAGGCTATTGAGAAAAGGGAGCGCCGTTTGCCTCGATCTTAACAGCAGCCCGAAAAGAAACCAATAAAGTAAGATGCTCGTGATCCAATTTGAAAAGAAACCTATTGCACTTTGAATCTCAACATGTAGGATACAAGCGCGTGGATACATAAATACACCAGAGCATTTATTTGCTCCTATTCACATACAACCCTAAATTCACACAACCATACCATCCACTTTCCTCACTGCATGCACCCGTGACCGCTATCAGCCATGCTTTGTACCTGTCAAGTGCTGTCCTTTTCCCTGTGCCCAAAGCCCTGCTCACTACATGAGAGCTCTCACATCAAAGCTTCGCTGAGCTCCACACGCACAGATGAAACACCCTCTCACTCCGGCCGCCTCTCTCCCCGCTCCCGCACATTAGACACATTTCATTTCATTACAACGCCACTAGAGAAATAGAGGTGCTGCTGTCTTAAAGGGACATCTTATTTACTCTCTCTTGCTCGTGTGCACTCACTAACATGTGGACACACACACAGACATACACACGGTATCTGCTTTCTTTTCTAATAATGCGACTGGAAGGGAAAATAATGGTCTGTTACCATCAAAGTTCTAGTGGACAAGCGGCATCTAATTTGACCATGAAGGGGGTGCATCATTGTCATCAAAGAAGAGTATTGACAATATTGTTAAGATGGCGCGGTATGGCTCAGACACCGTTATCATAAATCACAAATAGTCATGATATTCACAGAATATTGCAGCTTCATATTTTGTGTTTTTTAATATATATTTTGTCTCAATACCTTGCGGATAGTGAGGATAATTTATGTTTTAAAGAGCTTCATAATGCTGCGTGTGGGGAGACGGAGGAAGGGTTTCATCACGATGATGAGACAAGCCCTGGTTTCCTTAGCAGCCGCAGCCTTTGTTGTGCTATCTGGTGTGGGACAGGCCCACAAAGGAGTGCTAAGGATCGTCCAGATCGGGGTGATGGGGGTCGGGGTGCTCCCCCTTAGAGGGGTCGGGGCGACCCTCTTGACCGCTGGCCCCAGGGCAGGGGCTCAGTGTGATGGTGGCACAGGGGCACACACAGGGCATGGGAAGAGACTTAGCCTGCATACTGCTGCAGAAAGACTGATCCAACGCTAGAGAACTGTGTGTGTGTGTTTAATTTGAGACGGTGTGTGTGTGTGTGTGTATAGGACAAAGGCAACGTGACCCAATGTGAGCAATGTGTGAGAGAGAGATTTAGTTATATAAAAAGCTGGGTGACCCGAGGTTTGCAGTGTGCATTTGTGTTAGATTCACACTTTGACAGCACATCACAACACAAAGATCAGATTTAGCAGGTGTATCCCGTGTGTGTGTGTGTGTGTGTGTGTGTGTATGTATGTGGGAGCGACTTGACAGATAGCAAGAAACACAAAGGCCATATGACCTAACTCTACAAGGGTGTATTGCAAGATGTATGGAGAGATTTGGCTGTCAAAAAACAACGTAAAGACTAGAATGATGATGATAAGCTCTGTGGGAGAAATTAGTTCTGTGGGGATCGGGATAAACATTCACAAAGTGCTGTTTAATTTGAATTTAATATATATTTTCCTTCTAAATATAATTGTTTTTGTAGATAGGTTTCTAATATAAAAATAGACAATGACAGTATACATTTATATTAATTTGTATTTATTGGAATCACATTTTAAAAAGACAATTATATAAAAATAAGGTGAAATTGTGGGAAAAAAATGTCAAAGCAAATTTCATTTTTTGTTGCTTTGCTTAGTTCCTCGACTCTTTGTTGTAAATAGCGTTGATGGAGAGAAGAATAAGAGCAGGAAGTGTCTGGACAGGGAACACAGTGTTATGCTGACACCAACACAGACCTCTCAATGTTCAAATAAATGATGGTTTCCGACGTAGGCCCTGCTCCTCCAGACTAAGTACGCCGACAACACTGGTTGCCTTTACAGCAATGTCCTTCTGGGTGACTGGACAGCTGAAAGGGTTAGCACTGTTAGCTCGGTTAGGTGTGTTAGCCTCTCCAAAGGAAAGGCCATAGGCTATAGGCCACTCAGGGTTAGCATAAGGACGCTAAAGGCTACGAACCGGGCCACTTGAGGTTACCAAAAGTATGCTTAGGGCCACGAAGGGTTATTGACCAGTTAGGATAAGAGCCCTGAAGACTAAACATGGTTGTAGGCCACTCAGGGTTAGCATCAGAACACGTGGCCCAGTGTTGCTAAACGGTTAACTTTTGGCCTTCTGAACCAGGATTAGGGGAAAGGAGAAATGCACACAGTGATGTGATGGTGGTGAAATGCAAGGCTTTGATTTTTTTCTGTCATTATTTCCTCCTTTGTTTGGAAAATATGTTGGCAATGGAGAGTGGTTTTCAATGTGTCATTACTTAGTATTTTTATAGATACATTTCACTCATCAGTATTAAATGTAATAATGTATTGATTTTAAAATATTTGTGGTTCTTATAATGCTGCTGCCGTAAGCTGAACTGGTCATGTCAGTTATTTTATCAGGCTGCCACCAGTGGGCAGTGGCACAAAGCTGGTGTGGATCTGGTGAGACTCCATCTCTCTGTCTCTCCTTCCTTCTCTATCAATCTTAGTCCTATCATTTTATCTATCTATCTATAACTCCCTTCTCTGCTTTCACTTTTTGTTCTTTCTCTGTCTCCTCTGCTCTCTCCTCTGCTCACCCACTCCTATTTCTTTTTCATCCAGCGATCCATCTGTCTGGGTTTCTATATTTGTGTGCAAATGTCTATGTGATATCTGCAGGCAGTATTAAGTCTCCCTAATAGTTTCTCATCCATACCTCTCCAAGTTTCACTTTTTCTTCTGAACATGCATAGGCACACAGACTAATACAAATCCAAGTTAGAAGAAACATCATCTACCTAGAATTAGCATACAAACTATAATGTGGGACATGTCGTTTTTGAAGTCATAAATCACTTGCCAAATTACCATTAGACTTGCTGTGCCTTGAAGTAAAATTCAAACTTTACTCCATCATCATGCAGATGCCATTATGCAGTAGGACATTTTTTCAAATTAGAATTTCAAAATACATGTTTTGAATAAAGTAAAAGCTGATGTAATAGCAAAACAATTTATTTTAAAGATGTACTTAAAATAAAAGTAATTAGTAATATGATCACGTCCAATATTCCTCACACTTAAAATGTTTTCTTAAGTCAATACTCTTTATATTTATAACACCTTTTACATTACAAATATGTCTATCGAGAGCCTTGTCTGAATTTGAAAGGGAGTGAGAATCAAACTAATTTTATAATCTGAATAAGCGAGAAAGTGTCATTTTGCCGTTGTCAACACACGGCAGGTGCTAAGGGAAGGGGTGTGTGGCAGGTTTGATGTCGATGGGCACAGGAGGGACACACACTCAAGCTGCGTCAACGGAAGACAAGCACAATGTGTTAACACTTATCAAGCAAGAAGAGAGTGTGTGTGTGTGTGTGTGTGTGTGTGTGTGTGTGTGTGTGTGTGTGTGTGTGTGTGTGTGTGTGTGTGTGTGTGTGTGTGTGTGTGTGTGTGTGTGTGTGTGATGAAGATTTGCAGAGGAAGCTGAACAAACTCCCTCTCACAACTCCTCCTAAAGGTCTTTTTGTCAGCACTGCTGTCTTTCATACTCCTGTGTGTGTGTGTGCGTGTTTGCACAGTCGTTTACCAATACATTTGAGTCTTGGGGTGTGTGTATGTGTGACAATGGGGGTTGTGTGTGTTAAGCACAACCAAAGTGAAACAGGAATCCATCCATTTCCTGCTTTAGTTTCAGAGTACTTGGGATAATAAACAGTTAATTAAAATTGCTTCAAAGTTGAAGAAGTCACCAAAGGCTACCAGAAAACTTCCTTTTCTTCACAATACATTTACCCTCTGTAATTTGTTCTTATTATAACCACTTGGGTTCCTTTTCTTTTACATTTCCCTCTGATTCTTAATTTTTTTGTTGCCATTTTGAAGTATAGTAAAACAAATATTTGTAATATTAATTCAAATGTTTTTTTGGCTTTTGTAAATATTTCTACACCTTTTATCTGCAGTGCTGTCTGACGTCCTTTACACACAATAACATGCTCATACACAGATACTTATTCAATTGCAGCTAACTCTTTGAGTGATGGTGGGATCGATTGTGTTTGATATTAAGTGACACATGGCCTTTGGAGTCACTAAATGCTACTCACCGACTGAAACCACCGGCGCTGAATTTCAATCCCCCGGTTACTTCTCAGGCTTGTCCCTGCAGTGACACTCTCTCCTCTGTCTCTTTCTCTGCCATTTTGTTCCGTCTGGATTTTCATCATTTCCCTAGTCCTCTCACGGTGACGGTATTATTTGCTCATAGATACCCACTACCAAGATTTTCTTAAACAACTTAAGACCGATCAGATTTAGCCTGAGTAGAAAAGTTTCTGAGCTTCATCGTAAGACAGATTCTCTTGCGGTGCTACACCAGCTTTCCTCAGTAAGTTTGATAGAGTTAATATCATCTTTTATGGTTGGAAAAAAATACAATATCTCTATGGGTGCTTGTTTGTCCAGACTCTCTCACCGCACAAACACACACACTCCCATCTGCCATGCGCTTTACCTGAAGATATGTAGTAGATATGTTCTTCTTCCCCGTAGACACTTTGCAGCTATTCTTTTAATGCATTTTTTCTTATCAACCTGTTTAATTAATATTTGTTTTAATGTCAAGCACCTATATAAATGAGGTTTGTTATATTATTCTATATCAATAGATATATCTTGTATTACATTGTAAAGCAAGTATTATGAACAATTATGATGTGGATGATCCTGTTGCCATGGTTCTTATACCCATACTTGTGTGTTTCTTATCTGTTAGGAGGGCTACGGTGTGATGGTGCTCAATCCCAATGAGAACTACCTGGAGGTGGAGAAGTCAGCCATGTCCTCTCCCCTGCCCTCTCCTACCGAACCCTCTGACGAACCTGCAGAAAAACGGGATCGCAAAGATGATAAAGAGGGCAAAAAGAAGAGAGAATTTTATGAGAAGTATCGTAACCCACAAAAAGAGACAGAAACTGAGCGGATCCCTATACGGGTAAGTTGTAGAGAAATGGAGAGACTGAAAGAGGGGAGAAAGAAAAGAGAAAGGCAGGAGGGGAGTGTTGTGAGAGCTGCTTGGAAGGAGAGAAGAATAGATGTTCGTCAAAAGCAGACATGATTTGGACAGAGTGACAGTTAGGGTCGTGGGAGGAGGCAGGAATAGAGGCATAGGTGAGAAAATGGGAGGGAGGAATTTGGAAAAGTTTGCAGGAGACAAAAGTGGCAAGAAGGTGCCGGGAGGAGGAGGGTGGGAGGCGGCTCGCTGAGGAAACCAGGGAAGGAAATGTTAAGTAACAAGAGAGGATGGAAGGGAGGATGGGAGGCAGAGGGAGAAAGAGAGGCTCTTGTGTGGTCAGCCTGTGTGTGAAGAGGTTGGCTGTGCTCCAGTCGCCTCTCAGTCAGCAAGTGTTAACCACATGGCTACCTCGCTCTCTCCCTCTTCCTCTCTCTCGCTCTCTTTTTCTCTCTCAGATGGTGGGCTGGTCAGTGCAGCTCTGGCCCTTCACTCCTGTTAACCGCTGGGATTATTATCTCCCTAACACACACTCTGCAAACACACTGCAACATTCTTATCATGCTACACTGCCTGTAAACCACACACACACACACACACACACACACACACACACACACACACACACACACACACACACACACACACACACACACACACACACACACACCAAACACTTAGCTTGGGCCAGTTTACCTTGTGGTCAAACAAAGGAAGCAACCCTTCGAATAAATCACAAATAAATATGGGCACGGTGATGAGAAATTAAAACAGCGTTCTCCTCTTCGTAAATGTCTTTTTGTTTTACCCAATTGCCAATACAATTCATAATTGGCCTCCTAAATGGCGTCCAGAGAATTTCAGTTTTATTAAAAGCTCTCATTCAGTATACTTTCTGAATAGTGTGTGCATAAATGGTTAGCCTTCCTCCTTCACAGAAAAATGGTCCTGATGGATTTCTGTGTCTTGCTTTAGTGTGTGTGTGTGTGTGTGTGTGTGTGTGTGTGTGTGTGTGTGTGTGTGTGTGTGTGTGTGTGTGTGTGTGTGTGTGTGTGTGTGTGTGTGTGTGTGTGTGTGTGTGTGTTCTTCTGCGTGTTTGTGTGAGAGAGTGTGAGTGAGTAATACGTCAGTCTCTGGTGTCTGAAAAGACTTAGGTCTGCTGTGGGACTTGCGGGCGGTGTGTGAGCTGTCAACTCAGCCCCTTTTTTTTCTCACCCCCTGGCAGTACCTTTACACACACTCTAAAAAGGGTTAATTAGCATCAGTTCTATCTTACTCTATCACACTTCTATACATCTACGCTGGTCTCCCCTGTCATGGCCATGGGACTTGTGATTTTTCTTTACACTCGCTGAAATAACACGTGTGGTAAACAATCTGCCATTTATTTCACATTAATTCAGTCAGAATAGCTTGCACCAACTGTCACTTATTTATATATATTTTTATTTTAGGCTATGCATTAATATACAAAACACAATAGTTATAATCATCTGTGTGTGTGTGTGTGTGTGTGTGTGTGTGTGTGTGTGTGTGTGTGTGTGTGTGTGTACACACTGGGAATATGCTGGTTTTATCATTTACATTGTGTTAGACCCACAATAAAATGACCAACCATGTATTAAATTGTTTTATTTTTTCTCCTTTTATAATATACATTTATAAATATTCTATTCTTACTCCCTTCCTCTTGCTTTAAATCTTTAACACGCAGTGTGAAGTCGTTAACACAGTCCCAACCAAGGTTCCCTTATCCTTTGAGGAAGCATGCAATATTATTCACATCTGGATATTGGACTCAGCTTGCTATCCCCAAGCCTGCATAATGCATGCTGGACAGGGTCAGATGCATTGAGACAAGGGCGGTATGCAGAAATGATTGTCTTTTTGAGACTGCAGTGACTCGGAAATACTGAGCAGTTTAACGGCCCCTAAACACGGCGGCGTGCGTTGAAGCTTCAACGCTTCTGCCCATTCACTTTGAATGGGGTGACGTCACACTTTGCCGAACTGCATTGTGGGAGCAAGGCTTTGCGTTGCTCGCTTCAAAAGTAGAGCAATGTTCTACTTTTTAAGCTTCGACGGAAGCGTCAGCCAATCGAATCATATGCCAGTACAAGCTCTAGCCAATCAAACCGCGTGCTTGTGTGTGAGGGGCGGGAGATTCATGTGATTGGTTGTTGGTCAAGCTTCAGACACGCCTGCCGGCAAGCTTCAACGCACGCCGCCGTGTGTAGGGGCCGTAAGAGTCTTGGCTTTTCAGAACTCCATGGGATGGAAGTCAGTGCAGACATCATAACGGAAGAGAATAAAACACCAGCTCTGTGTTATTTCAATCCAGTTTTTGTTAAATATAATCTGTCAAATTGATTAAGCAATCCATACTGTTTCTCTAGCAGTCCATAGTGCAATATCCAGTGTTGTGGTATATTGAGAGATGGATCTAAAAAAAGAAGATCTGTTTTTTCAGAGCCGCAGGATAATACAAAATTAACCTCATTAACTAGAAAAGTAAGGGTCATGTAGAAGGTTTATATTTTCCAGCCAAACATACTTGTCCTTAGATGCAGGGATTGCAAGACTCGGGATAAAGATTAATGAGTGAGCAGTTTGGCTCTGTGTTGGTGCCCCTTGAATTTTGACCTTTGACCCAGAAGTCAGCGGGATGTTTGTGTGTATGACCTCGCCTCTATCGTCCACGCCTCCTCCTGCACTGCTTTACTCTCCAGTGTTCGGCCGCTGTCCCCCCCAGAGTAAGCCGTCACGCGCGCACACACACACACACTCATACACGCAAGCAAAAAAACACACATGCAGTTGTGCAAAGGAACACACATACCGACAGACAAAAGAGTAAAAGAGGTGGAAAAAGCTTTTTGTGTGTGTGTGTGTGTGTGTGTGTGTGTGTGTGTGTGTGTGTGTGTGTGTGTGTGTGTGTGTGTGTGTGTGTGTGTGTGTGTACTTCTGTTCGTCGGGGTGGGTGGTGGATCAAATCAAACCTCTTTAGCAGGGCACCACCCAAGACACATGGGCTCTCACATACACACACACACACTTACACACACTTACACACACATAAACCTTTCTTTATTCACTACATCTCACACTCTAACTCCTGCTGAGCTGGTAGACCACCTGCACGCAGCCATTCAGAAACACACACACTCAAATATATACTTTTACCCATTTTTATATATTGAAATCGAAAAAAACATAAACTTCAATTACTAGCTGTCTCGCTCTTCACTTACCTGTAATAGTCACACAGTTACATCACATACTTTTTTTTTTAAGATATTGACTGACACACAAACACAAAAAACACACATAAATACACCCTCCAGCCCCTGATAGAGTTGAGTTTATTAATACGCTTCCTTACACACATTAATAAGCTCTTAACTGCTTTTAGGATTCTCACTTTTTAGCCTTGGGTTCATAGTGTGCAGCCTCTCAACCTTATCTAATCCCTCTGCTCTCCTCTCCTCCAGATCACACACCGCTGGGCCATGTTTAGGGGGATGTTGGTGGAGGAGGCAGTTAGAAAGGGAGGACAGAGGGAGGGATGGAAGGATAGAAAGTCTAATCGGAGGGATGCTGATGAGGATAGTGAGGGGGGGACGGCTCTCTTTGCCATATAGAAGTTTGGGAGTTCACTTTACTCTGAATTTTAGCAGTAATCCAGTTAGCTATTTTCTGTCAGCCAAGCGGAGGAATGGCAGGAACAAAAGGCACATTCATGGGCTTAAGAAGCTTCCAAAGAGTTCACCCAAGGCTGGCTGGTTGGGATTAGGCCAGCAGGCCCTGGAAAGAAGAAGGGGGAAAAAAGAGCAAAGGGGACAAAAAACAGAGCTTCACCGTTCTTTAAGCACCACTTCTTTTTATAAATGACTGGAATACTTTTAACTTTTAGTTTTTGTTATGCTTTTCGTTTTAGCATCTCGTATTATACCTTGTTCAGAGAGAGAAAGAGAGAGATAGACAGGGAGGCCCTCACTCAACAGCATTTTGAAGTAGCCGATTGAGACTATTCCTTCTTTTTTTATTTTCGCTATACTGTACTTGTCTTCAGTGCAACTCTTAGAATAAGAGATATGTATGATTGAGACTGGTTAGTTGAATGATTTAGATGAAAACTCTTATTTTCTCTAAAATCCTTATCAAAATCACATCACAATGAAACCTACATTTGGGACACACTTTGGGGATTGCTTGATTCTCTTTTTTCAACTTTTTCTTTTTTTGTTTGGTATTTGTTTTGAATACAGTTTTCATTTTGCTACTTGGAGAATTATGGTCTCCAGTGTCTTGGTGCCGTGTGTCTTGTACTGTCCCAAACTTATTTTTACTATTGTGGATTGTACAGAGTGTGTTTCTTAAAGGAAGGAACATCCATTATTTAGACCTTGCCTCTCCAAGACCTGTTATTCCCAGCTGCAGCTGTCCACTGGGGCCAGCTGAGCTCCTTGTCCTTGTTTAGCAGATTATGTCCTGTTTCCCCATGTTCGCAGTGTACTACAAAGCGTCCTGAGGATTCACTAAAACACACACACTTACACACACACACACCAAAACTTGATTATAAACATTAAGACATGGACACACAAGCACACACGCTGGTAATTGTATTTTACATGGCACTACAGTGTTCTCTATGGGACTGGGTTTTTGCTCTTTGTCACCTTCACCCCTTTGTCCCAGTCTGTGGCCCACAAGCAATTATACAGACAGGGTTTATTTGACATTTGACCTGTGGTCGTGCCAAGAAGTAAGGCTCAGCATATCCAAGGACAGGTAGGGACTTGATTAACCTCTGAACTTGGTCAGAGAAGAGGTCAATTACTGGGCCAGAGGGCGGTTCACCTGCTTGCTGCAGAGAACAAATTGGCTAGATGCCATCTATGTATTTGGGTGTGTATTTCTGTGTAAGTGTGGTAGAGATAAATGTTTGACCTGTGTGTATGTGTATCTGTCTTTATGCG